GGTCAGGGCTTCGGGGAGACGGAATCACAGATCTTGAGGCAGTGTGAGGAAGGAGGAACCAGTGCCCAGGCAATCGCAGCAGGTGGCTCCCCAGGACGCCCGCCAGGTCCTCCCACGCTCTGACGGGGCCCAGGGCCTCCGTCAAAGGCTACCGAGCCTCTCACCCGCCGTCCCTGCTCACACAGAGCTGCAGCCCAGTGTGGGAGCCAATCCACAGGCTCTCGGACAGGAGAGACCATGGGAATACAGAGGCCTGGCCCCACCTTCACCCCGGGGGGTCCGGGAGAGCCTTTGGGAGGAGATGGTGCAGGTATAGACCCGGGCCGGTAGAGACGGGATTGGCTGCTCCCCACGTAAGGCTGGCGCACAGATAACATGACAGAGAACACAGCAGTGCTGAACTACATAAGCACTCAACCCAGCACCTCCCAGATGGTTGATTTCTACCCCCCAATAGCATTTCCCATGTTACCCCATAACCTGTACTGAACAAACCAACTGCTGTCGAATTGCAAGAAAACACACAGGACCCTAACGTACTGGAATGTGACTGTCCTGCTAACAACACAGGCCCTGGGGTCTCGGAGTTGGAAAGGATCATGAGGGCTACACAGCCTCTGACCAGGTCAGCCTCCCGTTAGCTGCTGCGGGCGAGCCGGCACAGGAGGGGGAGCTTGTTTGCAGGGCGTCCGGGATCTGAGTCACTGAACTAGTTAAGGAAGCCGGTTTCCAGGGCGCAGCCACTTTGCGGGCCCTCGGGCAGGAGGAATAAACAATGTCAGACTTCACAAAACGGCCTGGGATGACTGCCGGGCCAGCGGGGGTTTCCGAGGCGGCGCTCAGAGTGACAGCGATGTGCGCCTGTGAGTGCCAGATGAAGCTCCCACGAGGGGGTCTCTCTCAATCAATCAATAGATCAATCCATACGTAACCATTCCAAGCAAACTGCAGAGAGCAAGGCGGACCACAGACAGGCCAAATGAGGACTCTGCAAGGGGGGAGGGGTGCCCTCCCGCCCAGACCCCTGTGGACAATGGGCCATGAGGCCTCTGTTTACACTCCACAGAGGGGCCCGCCCACCTGTTTGCAGTGCCAGTGATGGGGCAGTAAAACTAGCTTCCGGGACGCAACTCTGGGGGGCTGTGCGCCAGAAACAGAAAATGAAAACTGAGCCCCTTCGTGCACAAGGGTGTAAGCAAATGGTCTACCAAGCCAGCACCGACTCACACGCCCCCCGCACTCCTGGGAGGGGCACTCCATCCAGAGAACCTGCAGGAGCGCTCACTCAAGAACACGCAAAGCACATGAGCAGAGGGACCGGTGGGGGGGGGGGGGGGATGTGTGTGTGTGTGTGTGTGTGTGTGTGTGTGTGCACCAGACACACGAGGAGTACTAGAGGAGATGTCCCAGGATCCAAAACTCCCCCACGGCCAGGTTCGGAGCTCCCCTGCTCCTCGGTGCCGGCGTGCAGCCCCGAGGGCCTGTACATGTCACCCTAAAAGACGTCGGCCATCACGGAGCGTTTCAGAGGAGCTTTCGTTATGATGTCAGTTTGACAGTTCAGGAGGGAACATCCGAACGGAAACGGAATTGCGGGAGATAAGTAAAGCAGCTGGCACAAAAACAAGCTCTCGGGATCTGTTTAGAAGCCCAAAGCCAAAATGAAAAAGCAATGCATTTTTAAAGGGCTGTGAGGGGTGGGCGGGACGGGGTGTCACAGAGGAAGTATTTTCTTAGAATGACTGTGATTAAGCTGGAAAACACACTGTGTTTTTTTAATAAGCCGCTAAGACTGAACACACGTGAGACTCCAACAAAAAGCAGAAAACTCTTGGCTAGGGTAGAAAGAAAGAGGTTTTGCTGCCTTCCTGAGCAAAGGCCACCGAGACAGTAGCTTTCAGGGAGGTAGTGTTGGGGTTGCCAACTGGCTCAAGTTCAAGTTCTATGGCAGCCGGGGCTCTGCCCCACAAAGACCCCGCGCACCATGCACGCACAGCGTAGACCCCGGCTTCTTGCGGCTTCCCCGTAGCTCTGTCCAGACCCTCGGGGAGCCCCTCCGCGTTGCCAGCTGGAGCCACCTCAGGGCGATAACCCAGCCCCGAGACCCGTTTCCTGCCGCGGCGGCAGTGTTCCCGCCTGAACTTGCCTCCGTCGTGGGGTTAAGACGCTGCTATGTCAGGACCCGGCGAACAAGTCTGATCTCATCCACACCGTGGGTCAGCTGATCGCTGCCTGCCAGCCCGTGCTCCGAGGTGAATAAGTCTGATCTCATCATTTCTTTCCGTTTCTGCGGCCGTTTATGCTCCTGGACTCTCACCCACGTGTCGCGGGCGAGAGCACACCCCCGGGAGGTCCTGTTTACTATCTCCCACCCCTGAAGAATGTGGCCCTTTGTGGGCAGCACTGCCCTGGGCGCAAAGGCAGCAGATCTGATGAACCTGCTGAACTCGGGGGGGTTTGCAAAGTGACGGGAGAGAGTCTGCCGGTGGCACGGGGTGGATGGATGCTGACCGACAGTGCCCGTCACCTGCTGAGACGGGGCACGGCCAGGGCAAAGGCGAGTGCGGTGGGTCCGGGCCTCCGGCAGGCTGCCTTCCACACTGGGCGCCCGCTGGCTTTCCCGGTGCTCCGGTCCGGTCCGGGAGGGAGGCAACACCTCTTGTCCCCAGCACACGGCCTCCAGGGCTCAGCAGGTGCTACCCTTAGCAGCGGGTGGTCACTCCAATTTCCAGTCTCAGAGCGAAAGTCTGCTTTTTGGGCTTTCTCTCTCTTTTTTTTTTTTTCTTCTTTTTTTTTTTGTAATTAGATATTAATGCTCTGTTTTACTGCATTTACAGCCCGCTAACTGCTTGACCACCTGCAAACATCTTTAGCGAAAACATGAAAAATAATAAGGGTTTCGCAAAATGCCACAGCCCTGCGGCTGCCCGGGGCCGTTCGTGAGCTCATCAGGGCTGGGGTTTCGCTGCCAAGAGGATGAAATCGCAGGCGGGTGTTCCACCCTGCTCCTCCGAGAGGGATGCATCATCCGCCGGGAGTGAGCGCATCCTGGCCGGACTCCCATCCCCCCTCTGGCCAGGGGCGAGTCTCCCTCGCCGTGTCAGACCCTCCGCAGGTGGCAGCCGCGGCCATCCACCCGGGCAGGCCCGCCGTCCGGCTCACTTTGGAGTCACTGTTTCTCTTTCTCACCCCAAGACATCAGCGGGTTACCGCCTTACAGGGAGGGAGGCCTCTGGCTTTCTCTCCGCCATTGCCAGTCATGCCCAAGAAGCCTGAGTTCAAGCCAATTGCCTCGGTTTCTCTCATTTGGTTTCCTCCTGTTTTCTCTTAAAAAGCAGCTCCAGGTAACGGTCCCTTGGGCCGCGGCCGATCGGGAATGTTGTTCTGGATTTCCAGGGAAGCATTTTCTGTAGCGTTTCCTTCACTGGCCTCCATCCAGGGCCTGGATCTTGTCCCTGCTGGAGTGTGGGTTCCTTCGCAGACGTGCATTCCTCCTCTGCTGGGTGGTATGGTGGCGAGAGGGTGGGCTGGGCGTGGGAAACACTGGGACCCAAACCCCGGGGCCCCACCACTGATGAGCGATGTGACTTTGAGGAAGTTCCTTAGCTTCTCTGAACCTCCGCGTCCTCATCTGTCAATCAAGGGCAATAATACTGCATCCCATGAGTGCGCTGTTGTGTAAGGCTCCTGGCCCACCGTCTAGTGACCTTCCTGACCATGCAAGGAAACGCCCCTTCCCAGGTCTTTGGGCCTCACTGCCGGCCCCCCACACCTGTCCTCCTCAACTGCCTACTAGCCAGCCCAGCCGGTGTGGCTCAGTGGTTGAGCGTGAACCTATGAACCAGGAGATCACGGTCTAATTCCAGGTCAGGGCACATGTCCGGGTTGCCGGCTGGGTCCCCAGCAGGGGGGTGCAGGAGGCAGCCAGTCCACGATTCTCTCTCCTCATTGATGTTTCGATCGCTCTCCCTTCCTCTGGGAAATCAATAAAAATATATTTTTAAAAACTGTCTTGTAGGCCACCACACTCTGCCTTTAAGCCTACAAGTTAGGCTCCAAGTGTGACTACAGCGTGGGAAACACGTGTACGGAGGGACACGCTCGGGCTGGGACCTCCAACTGTCTTTCAAGCCCAACCTGCCATCTCCGCTGGTCCTGCGAGTGCCTGTCAGCCCACCTGCTCCGGGACACACCACCCCGCCTTCCTGTTCAAATCCAGACTGCGTGTGCTCCCCCTGGACTTCCCGGAAGAGAATCTCATCCACTCTCCTTCCACTGTAGGGGGAAAAAAACATCTTTTTCCTTAATCATTCTTGGCATTTCTGCCTGGAGGGCTGGGTGTTCCCTGGCCTTTCAGCTCAGAGCCATGTGGTTTCTGTTTCTCCGTGGAAACAGCTGGCTGCACAGTCACCCACAGGCTGACCTGCCCAGGCCAGGAGACACCAGCCTGGCACAGCAGGTGGCCTGCAGACCTGGCTCAGCACCTGGGACCTGGGACCTGGCGGAAACAGCAAGAGGGCAGCATCTCATGTCCGAGTCCTGGAAGATGACGCCGAGGAGGCCCCACCAGAACAGGGCCTGGCATTCCCCCCTCCCCACAGCTCCTGTGGGCGCCGTGCCCCTTCATGCCTTCAGGGAGGGCACCAGTGTCAGAGGCGCTGCGTGCACCCCGCTGGGCGCAGCGGTGGCCACGGGGAGGGAGCGGGTCATGTCTGTCCAGAGGAGGCCGGGCCTTCACCCAGCGGCCCAGGGCCGCCTCTCCCCGCCGCCCCCGCCCTTCCCTTCCCAAGGAGTCCCCTCCATGGGGCGCAGGGCCGCTTCCCTTAGAGTTTCCCGCCCCAGGTCTCCTGCTCCCGGGAACTCCCCGGTGAGCCAGCCCCGGTCCCCGGAGGCGTGCCCGGGCGCAGGGGGCGGACTGCACGGGGCGGGGCGGGCGGGGCGGGGGCGGCGGCGGGAAGACGGAGGGTGCGGCCGGCGCGTGTGCCCAGCTCCGAGGCCCGCGGTGTGAGCGGCCGGGTGGGTCGGAGCCGGAGCCGCGCTGGTTCAGGAAGTTCAGCTGCGACCTCGGGGCCGGAGGAGCCGGAGCGAAACCTCCAACATGCGCGGCGCCGGCGGGCGGGCGGGCGGGGCGGACGGAGGGCGCTGCTGCCGGCGCAGGTAGCCTGGGCGCCGCCACCCCACATCCCACCGGCCCGGCCCGGCCCCGCGCCCCGCGGACCCAGGACGCGCCCGAGCCTCCCGTCGGGGACGGAGCGGTGAGTGTGCGGAGTTAACGCCGCGGAGGCCATCTGTTGGGAGGGATCACTTCTTATTTTAGGAGGAGACCAGTGCTCAGGGGTGGCGTCCAGGGCCGCCTGCCCCTGGCCCTTCTGGACGTCAGCTCGGCCCCTCCAGGGGGGTGTGGGATGGGGGGTTCCCCTCGGTCCGCGGTTCAGCGCCGGGGGCTGCGTGCGCCGCTGGCCGTTGCGTGGGGCGGGCGGGGCAGGGCGCCCCGGCTGCGCTGGGACGTGGGAAAGGGACGGGCGTTCCGCTGGCGACTGGAGAAGCCAGGCCTGTGACCCTCCAAAAAGTTCGCTTCCTCGCGTCCCGAGTGAGCCCAGGTGGAGCCCCAGCTCCCAGCTAAGAAAGTGGCCCCAACGAAAACCCGGCCTGGAGCCAGGGGTGGAAGGGGACCTGCCCACCTCCCTGGCTCCCCGGGCTCCCAGCTGTGGCTGGGAGCAGACTGCTTGCTACCTCACTTCTTTCCTCTCCACAAGGTCCCTCCGCCAGCCCTCACCCCACCCAGGAAGGCAGCTCGAGGGACACAATAAGCCCCGATTCCCTAGGAGTTTTGCAGAGCCCCAAGGACACTCGCTTATGTAATAAGAGAGCTAAGTGAACGGGCAGCTCTTAGCTCCTGGGAATGCCTGTCCTGCTGGCCCAGAGGGAAACCGAAGCAGCCCAGCAGGCTGCCCCTCTGTCCTGCTGAATGGGGTCAGGGAGGGAGAGTGCGCTGGACCCCCTCAGAAGCAACTTCCTCCCAGGCTGCTGCGCCAGGTTCCTAGGAACCTGAAGCTAATTTTAAGGGCCCCTCACACACCCCCCCAACTATATTTTTATTGATTTGAGAGAGGAAGGGGCAGGAAGAGATAAAAACATCAGTGGTGAGAGAGAATCATGAATCGGCTGCCTCGTGCATGCCTCCCACTGGGGATCCAGCTGGCAACCCCTGACCTGGAATCGAACTCTCACCTCCTGGTGTATAGGTGGGCGCGCAACCACTGAGCCATGCTGGCCAGGCAGGACCCCTCATTTTGAAGTCCCGTTGGCCACTGAGAGATTCTTGAGTCGTAAGACTTAAAAGTAGCATTGACCCGTCTCGTTCCTACCAATGGTTTGCAAGCACCACCTAAAGGATTCGGCCAGGCCTTGCTAAGTGGTCCATGACGCCTCCCCCGGGCCCAGGGCTGGGAAGTCTGACTGAGTCCTCCGTTCTCTCTGAAACTCTGGTCCCCATCCCCAGTGCAGACTCAGTTTTAGGAGAGGAACTCATTGCCAAACCCGTGGCCCATAGTTAGCCTGTGGAACACAGAGAGGATGACGTCTGCCCTTTTCCCCGAAGACGAAACCCGGGAGAATAACGCACTCCACAAGCTCAGTCACTGCTTTCACATCCATCCCATCCGGGCATTCACCCCACACGGACTGGGCCTACTGTGCGCCAGGCAGTCTGTCGAGACCTTGGAGTCCCGAAAGAATGAGGCCGTTTCTGCTGGTGGGGACCCACAGTCTGATCAGTATGACCGATACCAAAACAAACCGCAGTTCAGAGTAATCCACATCCCAATGGCCGTGGCCCTGGGACACCGAGCCATCCCAGGGAGGGAGTGATAAGCTCCCCAGGACTTATCTGGGGCGTCTACACTGCCAGAGAGCTGGGTGGGCAGGGTGGTGGTTGGATGTTTGGGCCAACGGAAAACTATGTGCCAAGTCAAGGGCAGGCTGGCTGGGGGAAAGGCAAGTCATGGGGAGACTACAACCAAACTAAGAACTTCCCACATGGGAAGTCGTTTGGGGTTAAGCAGGGAAAGGCTATGGTCAGATTTGTGTTTGAAGCAACAGCTAGTGACCAGATGGAAGCTGGCTTAGAGAGATGCGAGGCAGAGACGGGAAGGACTTCAACTAAGATGGTGGCAGTGGACCCTGAGGAGAGAGGGTGCCAGTGGTGTTTTTGAAAGGAGAGTCCGAGTACCTGCTGCCCAACTGAATGTGGAGGAGTGAATGGGAGCGAGGATGCTCATCGGGTTGAGCCGGGGTTGGAGAGGTGGTGCCTGTGGGGGCATCATAGGAACTACAGGAGGAGTGGGCCTGGGATGTGGACTGCGGGAGGAGAAAGCAGTTGACATGTTGGACACATTTAAGTTGGGTTAAGGAGAGGTGCCGGGGGATTCAGGTGGTGAGCAGTGCGTACTCGGGTCGGGAGCTCAGAGAGAGGGAGGCTATCCAGATGTTGTGCATAAAAGCCGTGCTGGAGGTGGCTGAGAAGCCTCTGTGAGACCATGTGGGTGCCCAGAGCCTTGAGAGATTCTTGAGTCGTAAGACTTAAAAGTAGCATTGACACCACTCACCTCCAATGACTGGCTTCCAAATGACCCTGTAGATTCCCAAGGCTTTCCCCAGGGCGATACCTGAGCTACTGGGGAGAATCCTTGGTTCACGGCACACAGGTAATTACACGCCGGCACCCAGGCATCACTGCCCAGTGTGAGAAATGAATGCTCTAGAACAGCGGTTGGCAAAACGCGGCTCACAAGCCACATGCGGCCCTTTGGCCCCTTGAGTGTGGTGGCTCTTCCACCAAATACCATGGCCTGGGCGAGTCTATTTTGAGTTTTAAGTGGCGTTAGAAGAAGTTTGAGTTAAAAAAAATTTGGCTCTCAAAAAGAAATTTCAATGGTTGTACTGTTGATATTTGGCTCTGTTGACTAATGAGTTTGCCGACCACTGCACTAGAAGATCAACTGTAAGATCTGCCAAGACCTCTCCGAGGTCCAGCAATTGCACCTGAGTGGGAGGGTCCCGCCATCATTGAAACAAGAGAACGGCTTTCTCAGGCTAATTCTAAGCCCCTATAAGATAGTCCTTTAGGTCTGGCTGCCCCTGCCCAGGTCAGGATCTTATGGAAGAAAAGAAACCTTGAACTTGGAACTAGACAGACATGGGTTCTATTCTTGCCTTGACCACTAGCCGCCCTCGAACAAGTCTCTGAATCACTCCCCTTATATTTAAAATGGGGCTGGCGGATTGCTCCTCACCAGGCCAGTGGTTAAAATTGAATCAAAATGAAAAGAAAGTACACTTACTGTGCTTCACACCTTGTAAGGCTCTAGAAAGAGGTGAGGGGCTTCACTGTCGTTGCTCCTTGTGGAGCTAGGAGATGGGACCTGGAGGCGTGGGATCTGAGCGGTATCCTGGGCCCAGACTTGCAGCTCTTTCGCTGCAAGAAATATTTTTAGGCAGCAATTGCGTCTCCTGTCCTGTCCACGGCACACGTCTGTTCTGGCTGCTGCTTTTCACTCCTTGCCCACAGTGGTCAGAGCTTTACCAGCCGTATGCGGGGTGCGCACTGCGCAAGGGCTCCTGGGGGCTCCTGGGGCTGAAAGAGGCCAGTCTTCCCCATGCTCGGCCAACGACCACCCCCGGGCGGCCCCGTCCACCCAGAGGGCCTGCTTTTCTCTGACCCTCACCAGCAGTGGCCCTGACCCTGTGCATCGGTTCCTGCCCTGGTGTGTCTGTGTCTGTGCGATTCTCCCTCTGTCCTAAGCAGGGGAGCCTGGCATATTCCAACCAAGCGAAGCTTGCAAGTTATGCCAACATCAAAACGTTCAAGTCAACAGGCTTCTGACAGGGCTGGCTGTTGATGCAGAAAAGGAAGTAACCGCACATGCAAAGTCTTCAAGTGGAAAAACACCCACCCCCTCACTTCACAGATGAGCAAACCAAGGTTCAGGAAGGCAAAGGGAGTGCCCAGGTCAACAGCTGGTGACGGGAGGGGCGGGGATCTGCGCTCGGTCTCTTCGCTCAGGAATAGAGGACACCCAGGGGCTTCTGTCTCCTGGAGCTTCTGCACCTCACACACGGGGACACACAGACACTGGAATGCCGGCTGAGGTCGAGCAGACAGACTGCCCTCAAAACCGGCCCTTTCCCCCGAAACTCCAGAGGAAACTGGGAGCAGATCTGCGAGAATCCCCGGAGACCCCTGGGTAAGAGGGGCAGCATTGGGTGTTTGGTGAAACTTTCCATGGAAACCGTACTGAGGCCGGTGGACGGGCCAGCATACCTCACACACGGACACATGGTGGGCCACTAAGTGAGAACGGCTCCAGGCACATCGCAGAGAGCTCATGAGACTCGGCACAAACACGGGAAAGAAATGGGCTCACAGCCTCTTTCCTCTCCGAGCAGCAAAAGGAAAAGCTACGCAAGTCCTCCGAAAGGCGGCCCCAGGGCCACCGAGCTCCACACGGGCTGAGCAGCCTGTCAGGGCATCCCGGGGGCCGGGGGCCAGGAGCCAGGAGCCGGCCTTTGGCAGAGGCTGGACCAGGAAGGACGAGCTCCAGAATGAACCTCACGGAAACCAAGATTCCTCTCTCAGGGCGGCTCCCAGGGCCGGGACAGCGTCCACCGAATCGCGGCCCCTGGGAGAAACCGCAGCCCCCTCGCGGCTTGGCCTCCTGGTCAGCACGAGGCTGGGTGGTGAGCCCCTGCAGACCTGCCCCTGCTTCTCCCGGGGCCGAGGCGCTATTGACTTCTGTTCTCCACCCAGGCAGTCCTCACCGCCCCCCAGAGAGGCCACGGAGGGCCACCAGCAGCTCCTTTTCGCTTGTGGGCGAATCGTGAAAACAGGCAGAAAAGCAGGAGAACTGTTATGGCAACAGGGAGCTGCCTGCGACTGCACTGTCCGCCGTGAGAAGGAAAGGGTGGCTCGCGGCTTTAAGGGGGGTGGGGAGGCAGGCACAGAGGAGGACTGAGGAGTCTGGCCACTGGGCATCATGGGAACCGACCCTCAGGCAGTGGACATGCCATGTCTTCACCTAAATGACGCGGGACCGTGGCCACCCTAACAAGAGGTGCTGCCCTCCCCACCCAGCCTGGGAGCTCCCCTGGGGACAGTGCCAGCCTCCCAGCATCCCTCCACTGCCTGTGCATGGCCGTGACCCCGAGACGCCAGCTGCCACTCGTGGGTAGTGGCCTGAAACCACCCAGGAACGGA